CAGTTCTGAAGTCAGCTACTCAAAAGATCCAACTTTCATCCTGTTAGCATGTTGTTTGTATCCTGTCTACATACTGTGATACTGTGATGATGAGTGTCCTGTATGTCCCAAGTGCCCCTCAGTGTACATGTTGGGACTGAATGTGACCCAGTTCTGACTGTCTCTACTGGCGCCATGCCTCCACCTGTCTATTACCCACCATGCCACAAGCATGCCCTGCATTGCTCCTGTCCTGTCAGCCTCTGAGATCTGCATGACACTCTGTTTCTCTTGCCATGTTTTGATTACACAAGTCAAAACTGACCAAATTACTTTTGAACAATTTCTCATTGGTCACATTGGCCAGGTCTGTATGTAGAGGTGGTCACTACAGGTTTGACTGTTCTAGTCCTATTCACCTATTTCAAATTAGAAAAGAAAAAGAGAATTTGCATTTGATGAATTAGCTAGAGCAGATTGGAGTTGTCAAGATCAAGTTAAGATTTATCCATTTGTCGCCCTTAAGGATGTCTTGGGAATAGGGGCATCTTATGGGTTACATTGCACATTTGTACCTTGAACTCTTCTGTAAAGTCTTGGGAAATGTCTTAGGGACGTACCTTGAGCTCTTGTTTAACATTCTAGGAATGTCTTGGGGGTGTGATTATACGCTGAACTCTTGTCAAGCTCCTTTAGAAAGTGTTGAGATGGGATTGCACCTTGAACTCATGTTGAGAATCTTGGGAATGTCTTGGTGTTGGATTGCACCTTGAAGTCATGTCAGGCGCCTTGGGAATGTCTCAGGATGGGATTGTACTTCAACTGTTTCTTGAGAATCTCAGGGTTGTCCCTGCCACTGCCAGGAACCAGAAACCTTGTAACAAGAGCAGGGCTCGAAATTCATTTTTGGAAGCACAAACATTTTGGGTTTACAGTAATGTTAAACTAAAGTAAGGTAAAATTGACCTTACTGCTTCTACTCAGAGCTTGAATTTGAAATTTTATGGCTACATTTAAACAAACGAATATGGTGTATATCACTGTACACAGATCAAATTTTTGGTGCACAAAATGTTGCAGGTCTCTGCCTTCATTATATGCTTTTTGCTTTAAAATGTCAGAACCAAGAAGGTTAATTGGTGTGGCCTAGTTATGCACCTACCCAGCATGCCAGTGTGACATGGCGTTCCCTCCCATCTGGATGTCATCAGGTGGGGAGGGAGAATAACTCACCTGCTGCAGCCGGCTGCTGACACCTCCATCCATCCCGACCTGTTTACCTTTCACTTCCCGCACGGCCGTTTTCACACGGCCCCGCGCCACGCCGGTCCGCCATGTCCCAGAAACAAAAACATGGCCTCCCCGGCTAATTGTCCACCGGCTGGGAAGGTGAAAGTCATCAAAGGAGGACGGAAGGCACTTTGTAAATAAATTTTGAACTTGACCTGTGCCTGGATGCTGGATGCCAGTGGGTGGGTGGGGTAGTCATGTTGGGGTCAAGTTAGCAGGGAGACTCCACACCTGGAAGGATAACTTTTCTCTTTTCATCTCTGTTTTGTTTTGGTTTTGCCTTATTATTAGAGCAGGTCTTGAAATACTCTACATGTATCTGGCCAGACAGATCTTCCAAAGGATCAAGCAAAAGTCCTTTGCAAGTGTCATTGATACCACAGGATGTTAAGGCTTCTCAGAACCCAGCTGAAATGAAAGCCACGTTTTGGAGATGAACATCACTTGGGTTAGAAATGCAAGGCATTTGTGTGCGCTGAGCTCCACTTGACTTGTGCTGTTTTCTGGAATGTGTACAAAACAGTCTTACGTGTTGTTTTCTGACAGCTTAGTTTTCGACATGTGGCAACAGATCAGTGGGGAAAAATCCAGGAAATTCTGAGGCTTAGACAAAGCCGGGCCCAACCAATGCATTTCATTGTTACATGCTATTACTGCTACAGACAAGTGCTGCACAGAATTCTATATCACTACAAATTTGGAATCTGTAATTTGTTAATTAAAGGGCACCATGTATGTGTTTTAACATGTATTATTTTGTAATTTTACTTAATTAAGTTAACCATGTTACAAGGCTGGTACTAAGCCACTCAGCATGGCTCCATGACAATTTTGTTCATGTTTTTAATTTGTCATGTGTTTTAGGTCATACAGATATCACATTTTCGTAATATCCGGTGTCCTTCAAAATTTTGAGTGGCCTGCCCCTGCTTATGGTGAACACAATGGACAAGTCCGGCCCTATTGTATCCATGTACATTTCACCTCAGTAGAGGTGAGACAGAATAAACCAATTAACGAATGTTGGTGGAACAACGAAAACAAACAAATTGTGGGTAGTCGAAGGCAAACAAAGTGTTTGCTACAAAATAAACAGACAATAAAGTCTTATACTACAACATAAACAGTCACGTCAAAAGTGAATAGTACAAAATAAAGAAACAAAAGAAAGACAGTTGGGTTACACTGTGTCAACAAGAAATACAGTCTAGAAGTAATAGACAAGTAAACAATGTATTCTCTTTGCTGCAGTGATAGATCTGGATAGTTGATAGAATTAAGCTACCTTTTGGTTATCATACAGGTAAAGCTCTAAACTATCCTAGTGATATTGTGTTAAAAAAACTATAATTCTACAAATAAGTTGAAAATCAGGTTGTAAACAAAGACAATTAAGGTAATCATGGCCATGGGCCAATAAAGAAAGCATTTTTACTAATACTATTGCATCATTAATACATGTATTTTTTTCAGCTGAGCAAATATGGTAAGATAAAAATGCTGTAAATTTTGACAAACTTCAGGTGATCTGGTAAGTGTTAGTATTGTGTTAAAAAATAGCACTGTCTTAGTATAAAAGAAATTAAACCTTGCTTCTTTTCTTTTTTTTGCTTCCTGTTTGTACCAAGCTGTAGTTTGGCATAACACAAAGGATATGTCCTGGTGTTTCCTGAATTGTGAAATTCTGGACAGGCCAGCATGTATCCTACCTTCCCTCCGCAGGTGTGTAGTGCTGTACTGTCAGTCGCTCCTCCTATATTCTGTTTTTCCCCATGTTTTCACCAGGCTTACTACTCAACGGCAGCTCAGGAAACTTTGCCAGCCCCCATGCAGGTGAGAGACCATTCTGGCCCCTCCCCCCAAAGTCCACAACCCCTTCTGATGTACCAGAGATGGAAAACTCTCTAGGAGATGTAGGATTCTATCATCACCTAGTCTTTCTGATGTTATGACATATGGCGTGGTTCTACCCCAAAGTGATAGTTATTTCTAGGGAATTTTTACCAGCCATGTGAAGTTGCATCAGATAGACGATGGGTGTATGTACATGTGTCGAGCGTTTGACTTCTTCATCTCCTATAGATTTATAAGCATCTCTGGTTGCACAGGTGTGTGGAAATGCCCCCCCCTCTAGCCTGGACACCATCTTCTGTCTGCTCCTGAGGTTATTGCCCTACCTGGGATGCTTGCGCCACGTGCCATGTATGCCAATCCATACTGATTAGTTTGATTATCTGTCCACTGATTGGTTCACTGATTTGCAATTGGGAAGCCAGTGGCCAATCAGTGGGCTTGGTCAGATTCTTGCCAAAGATTGATGTGCAGGACGTTTCACTTCTGAAGGCTGACTTGATAGTAGAAATAGGCCCAAATAAGAATTAGGTAGAGCTGTAGTTTTGGTAGTTTGCTTGCAAATTGTTTTCATTTTAATTTGGGCAACTTCTACTGCTCATTCAGTCCCAGAAGGATTGTTCATGTGGAGACTAGTCACCAGTATGAGTAGCAATCTCAGGTGCAGACCAAAGCAAAAGATGGTAACCAGGCTAGCTGCTCAGCCCCCCCTACCCTCCCCCTGCCTGTTTCGTTTTGCCGTGAAAATAATGCCTGATCAACCCAGGAAATCATTCTGCCCACCTGCATGAGGCAGCAGTAAAGACTAAATGAATGCTGGTTTGATAAAGAATGCCTTAAACGTAACTGGTGTGCTTTTTAAAATCTAATTATTATCATAAATGATATATAAGAATATAACATGTAACAAGCAAGGCAATAGATATCTCATTATTATGAGGTTTTCATAACTATTTAATAACTTGGGTGAACCTGATATGGTTTGATTTTGAAAGATATAGTACTTTAATATCATATGTAATAGACAGTTATGATAACTTAAGTTTTTAACCATAAAATTCCTTTTATTACGTCTTGCCTGATCACTAAACTTACTGTTCATCAAACTTTGTGTCTCCTAAATTTTAGCCCAATTTCTTTCTATAATAATTGGAACAATTCATTCAAAGAAATTTGAACTGAATGAGAGTCATTGAAACTGGACCATGAGAGCAAAGTTTCTCTTTTTTTCAGTAGAAAAAGTCTTAAACTCTGAAACAGCCTTGTAGGCATATGGCTGAAAACTAGACAGTGTCACTGTCTCTAAGATGTTTTTAAGTGTCCGAGTCTGCCAGATCTCTCCTCACGGTCTATCCATTCAGAGGATCCTCCTGATGAGTTGTTTGAAAATGGACACCTCCTCTCCTACGGAGCCCCCCCCCCCTCCTGTGTGTGAATACCCCCTTGTTGTGCTGCAGGTCTGTAATAGTGATTTTCCACCTAGTTGGGAGGAAATCTTCTTAATGTTGCTCAGAGGACCCCTAAGAGCTGCACTTAAGAAGGACTTAGCGGGATAAGACATCTATTAAGAAAAGTCACAGGGTTTCTCACTGTTTGTAGCTCAGGTAATGCTGATTGCTAACTGATGGCTGAAAGGTGTTAATGGGCATGTGGAGAGGAACCTTCTCACAAATGGATTGAAATTATATATAAGCAAAGGAGCTTATTCCTTCTTCCCCAGAAGTATCAGTCATATCTACCCAGAAAAGTTAAATAATCATAAACTGAGTGTAAACTATTGCAGAATTATTCTGAATGCTAGACTGTTTCCAGGGCCTACTCAGGCTAGCTCCTTGGCCCCAGGGCCAACATGCCCGGAAGGAAATTTTACTACCCCCCTGGCATCCTGGAACCAGTTGTCTTCAAATGTCAGTTAGAGTTAGGTATGAGTGTGTAGTTGTGGTGTGAAATAGCCAGCTGCTGCCATGTGCTTGTGAAGCTGTTGTATATGCCAACACCCCTTAGTGATATCTATGACCAAGCAAAGCAATTAACCTTCTCCCTGCCACATAACCCCATAACCAGTACAAATTTGGTGCCAAAAGGCCAACCCAGCAGGGAGAAGGTTGATTGATAGTTTGAGACAGGCTTTTCTTAACACTTTATAAAAGTTGTTTTCCCCCACCCTAAGCTATTAAGAAGCAGGCAAAGCTATTAAGTAAGAGTTCTTAGGAGAAGTGCCCCAGGAAGGACCTTGCTAAGTAAAAGTGGTTTCTCTCCCCCACACCTCAAGGCCACACCTGCACAGCTTCTTCCAGCCCTCTGTAAGCTGATATCCCTGTGCCCAGAACACTCTCTCTTGTCCCATTGGAGTCTTAATGGGACAGGAGAACAATATTTCTTGAACATTTACGGATGGAATACATCTTTGTAATATCTTGATGTGTACACATTTTCAAAATCGTATCTTCTGTTCACCACTTACCTCACATTTTCTTGCAGATGATGATTGAGGTAAGGTGAGCTATTTGTTATTTTTATGGCCTGTCTGTATGCACATAATTTAATGATTCTTTCCCACTAATCTCTTTGAGTGACACTAATACACTAAAAAGAAATAAGAACACAAGGAAACAAAAACATAATGTGACTTAGGTGTCCGAAGAATTTTTATCTGCAAACCAAGGAAATTATTTGGAGTGGAGTGACAGGTGGGAGATTGAGAGCGCTTTACCAGGAAAGCCAAACCAGGTAAGCGGTTTTTTTTCGTTCTGCAGGAAACCTGCAAGTGCCAGTGGTGGTATTAACTGTTGTTTGTTTGTCCTGACAGAAAACATGTAAACGACTGTGGTGCATGAACGCAGACGGGATCCAGAAAGGCTGCCGGACCCAGCACATGCCCTGGGCAGACGGAACACCCTGCGGCAACAACAAGGTCAGTCTCAAGGTCATTCTTAGAGGGGAGAGGGCTAATTCAGGATCAACTTATGAAAGGGGTCACTAAGGAGTGAAATGGATTGAAATACTAGTCACTTAGTTTTGAAAATTGATAAAGATGTGGAACCTGAAAAGTGCTGACAAGAAAATTTAGAGATAGATTAGTACATAATGAGCAGCCAGAGGTTTCAGTAAGTGGCAGGATTGCTGTCCTCTGCCTTTGTGACTGTGATACAGCACATGATACACCTGCAGGAGTTGTAGATGGCTGAAAACTACTGACACTACTCTTTGGTTCCCAGTAACCATTCTAAAACAGCTGTAACTTAATGAGTCTCCAAGACAAGTGTTTGGAGTTAACAAGGATTTTCCGACTGTGTTCTCTACACCTAGAGGTCATGACATTGACCTTGTAGAAAGGATGATGTTGTGGTTTCAGGCTGTTACCTTTCCCTCAGTTTATCCCTCTTTGATCTTGTCCTCCTTGGTTGTGACCCCTCCTTCAGGGCAAAGGTTAGGGGGCAGGAGTGGTCTTTGACCTGGTTACAGAACTGTAGCAAGATGCAAATGTTGAGATGTTTATCTGGAATTCTGTCCTGACCTCCTTCATAATTCCTTTCTCTTTGGTCTAATAGAATTTTTTCTTTCGAAACTACCAAGCATTGTTGCAAGTCTTCATAAAAATATAGGATGTAATCAGTCAACTACACTGTAGTCCCTAGCCAGAATATAGCTGTTCAGGTGTGTTCCCATTTGAAAGGCTATCATAATGTTTTCCTTGGCTGTTTATCCACTTTCCTAGCAGACAGAAATCCTGACTTCCGGCTGAACTGTTGGACATGACATTCCCATGATCTGTCAGCACTTGAGACTTCAACCTCCAACCTCTGGTTTCTGCTGTTGAGTCCCAAGACCACAATGCTAGCCCACTGGTACAATGTATTTCAGATTTATGTAGTCATCTTGGGTTTGTAGTAGTTAGGACTTGAACCCCGACCCCAGGTATTTACAGTGCTGGAGTTCCCATGGCCAAACCATAGTGCTAGTCCATTGGTATGACACATTCATGGTCTTAATGTTCCTCTGTGCCAGAGAGCCTGAAGATGAAATAAAACTCTAGCCTTTTTGGTCCATGGCAGTTGGAACTTGAACCCTAAACCCCTGTTTTTACACAGCCAGTATCCCCAGAGCCAGCCCACTGCTGCTACATAGTCATGGTAACTTCCTCCACTGAAACTTTCTCTCCAAGAAGATAATGGCCTTTTGGCTGGGCTGTGAGCAGGTGGGACTTGAACCCTGAACTCCTTGTGCTTACAGGGCTGGTGTCCCCAGACCCAACACTCTGGTGGTAGCCACCATACCATATGGTTAACTTGACATAAATGACCCTGCTTGTGTTTGATGGAACATTAGGGCATACCCTTGACCCCAACTGAACCCCATACGTTATTCCCTGCCCTTCAAAGTTTGTCATCAGACTCTTGCAGACTTTCTTGCCTTGAACACCAGGTAACTGGATCCTGGGACAGTCAGGGTTTCTTAGAAGTCTTGAAGGGGACAGTTCTGTCTTACTGTCATTGGTCAGTAGAGTAGACAACACCATGAGAAGGATGGTCAGACTTAATGATCTAATTAAGATTCTTGACAAGAAACAAGCAACCAACCGCTGCAATAATTGTAAGAATGTGTCACATTGACTGCTTGGACACAAATGAGAATAGAGAAGTAAGATCATTTGATGTTGAAGATTCAAAACAAGAAAGAGTCATGAATGAAAGCCACAACATGACTAGTCTGGGAGTCATATCAGGATAGAGGGGATTAATTCCATAAGTGTCTGGGATTGTTAGAACTCAGCTTTATCTTTATAATCATTCCACAACAGTTGTATGGTTAAAGACATCTCTATTTTGGAACCCTTCCAATAGTTGTCAATCCGCCCTTCCCATATCCTTGGTAATCATGTAGATTTCTGACAAGACTTGTGTCTAGGGTCTTAAAATAATTGGGTTAGAAGTCTTGGATACAAGCCATAGCAGCGTCTGGGATGATTTAGGACAGGAAGTCCTTTTGATACCTTCAATGGAAAAAATGATTCTTTGATATGTGGATGTGACAGGATTTTGTCTATATGTTGAAAGAAAATGACTTCTGCATGTATTTAGAATACTTTCTGAGATTTTGCCAATGATAGTTTATCTTTGTATAAAACTTTGCCACAGCTCCCACCCCCATGGCCACCCCCAATAGACCCTGAGAGCCTTTCCTATGTCATCTGGACAGCCTGTAGGCTGGATGCCAAATAGAGGGGCCCGCATGCCCTTTTCCATAGAGCGTAATTGGCCGTTTTAATTCTACATTGAGCATGGACGGACCGCTCTACATGTAATTCAACGTAGACCATAATTGGCGCATTTTGCATAGAGCGTATTCGCCATTTTAATCCAACGTAATGCATTGTAGCCACTTGGAATTTAACGTAAAGCGTCATCAAGAGGCTTACTGAATTCAGCGTAATACATAGCCAGCTCTCAAAATTTAGTGTAGAGCGTTGTCGGGGGGGGGACCCCCCATGCAGGCCCCCCAGCACCCCAGCAGTATGGTAATTTAATGCTGACTTCAGGTGCATGTTGGCCCTAGAGCACAGGAAGCCTGGAAACAGTCTGGTGTCCAGGCTACAGTTTTATAACTAGGGGAATACCCTCCTGGTTCGGCAGACCCTGGCTGGGCGTGTCCTGAAATCCCAGCCATCAAGACGAGCTGCAAAATTTACAGCAGAGGAAGTGGTGTTGTTTGGATAGTTGTTATGAGGGAAGTTGTTGGTGAATTATTCTTGATGCCAGATACAGATAAGGATGGATAGGAACCTTTTGGGCTTCACCTTTACAATGATGAACAAACAGTAAACCCAACGTACCACATTTTCAAATTTTCTCAATTTTTCTAATACTTACCGGTTGTGTAACCGTGTGTTTGATTTCAAGTTTTAGAAAGAATTTTATAGCCAAAGGTGGATAGAAGTAAATAAAGGTGGTACATCCCCACTGCACTCATTCTGCTCACCTCGTCTGCTTATCTTTACTTCAACAAGTTCATGAAAAAGCTTTTTTCACAACTCTCTAATTTCACTTTTCTGACCTTTGCATAAAGCAGGCTAGTTTATTGATCCAGGCATGTAGCTGGTCTCAGAGTGCTAATATAAAAAGGGGGTCTGCATGCTCTTTTACACAGACTGTCTTAATCCCATTGTAATTCACAGCTGAGCAGCACAAATTTAATGTAGGTGCCTTTTTAACTGATAAGTAGCCTAATTCAGTTGTAGTAGTAATTGGCACCAGAATTTAGCATTAACTGAGGCCAGTCTGCCAAATTTAATGTAATAATGTAGCCAGTACCCTTTTGAATTTAATGTATTGTCAACAGTACCCCCCCCCCATGCATTCCCCCATAAAACAAAACAGGGAGATAACTGTGAGTTGTTACACAAACATACAGACTTGAGGTGATGAAACCTTAGACACCATGTTGCACTGTTAGTTTATATGGTCTGTATCCATGAACTATAACTTGTGGATCCTGAGCACTGATAAAAGATGACTTCTCTTTTCTTTACCAAAATTTATTTCCTTGATTCTTGAAGACAATTGTTATCTGTCAATCAATGGTGTCTAAATGATGGCCTACTAACTAAGAGAATTTTTACTGAACATAACAGAAAAAACAGCTTTCAAAACCTGTGAACTTCTATAACATAAATTTTAATACTTACACATTAAGTTTGTGATAATCCTGCTTTATTGTAGATTGCCATATGGTGGATGTCATGAGGTAATGGGTCCTACAGGATCATGGTGCTAAGTACAATGGTGAGGCAACGCCGGCATTCACGAGATCGAGGCTCGTTTCACGCTCAAGGGACGATGGGTAGACTTCCTGGCGGCAAAGTCAAATTTTTTCCTGTTCTACATCACATGTCTTAGCGAGTTTTTGAGTTGTGATTGTTGATTTTTTAGAAATTTTGTACACATCATTATCAAGATATGTAAATATTTATCCTAAACTTATACTTAGGCCATTCCAATGAAATTTCTTGGTATTGGGATAATTTTCAGGAAATTATTGGATACTTGCCTTCTGTGAAAACATGATTCTTCTAGCTTGTCATCCCCCCAATGCCTCCACTGTGCTTAAGTGTCATCTTGTTGTGAAATCATACTTTGATTATTTATAAAAGAATAAAAAAAATAAGGCAACACAGACAATTCCATGACAGTTTTTTTAATGACTATCAAAAGGAATGCACAAAAATTGGTACAATACAGGCAATACCTTGGGTTTATGAAAACAATATCTTAAAAATTGTACACAGTGACATAACAAGTTATTGAATGCATGTATCTACAACCTTCCAATAAATTAAGGTATGTCTTACCAGAATTGATCCTACCACATACACATGCACTTTAGATATCATAAAATAGAACATTATAGTGCCAACAATGCAATCGCTTCACTAGCATCAATTACTTGTATAGCTTGCTTACAGGTCCAGGTAAAGTTGGGATGAGGAATCCCAAGTCATCCAGAAATAGATATGAAATTATCAGCACCATTATAATGAAAAAAATAAATAATAAACAATATATCTTTAAAATACATTGTCATGTTCTAATCCAAGGTATGAATATTTAATGATGAATGGGACTTGGAGATAGCAATAGAAGGTGATCTGGTGTCTTAGGCAGGGTTGAACTCCACATTCCTGGTGCAGAACAAACCAGTACCTCACTTGGTCCTGTACTTCAACTAGAAAATAAAGAGAATAATAATCAGATGAAAGTACCATTTGCTTTTCTTTCTGCAGACAATCAGTAACTGAAATACTGTCAACATTCAGACTGCATCACATAACATTGCATGGATAATCCTCTGGTACATGCATTACATTTCTATTCATACACCATGAATGACCTTGTATGGCTTTTTCTAACTTGATAC